ACAACAGTTCTGCAGACATTACTGCTCTTCAGGCTCCGAGCGGCACAGCGGTGTCGTCTGCTACAGCTCTTTTTTTCCATTCTAATCCTCGTAGAACTCCATCAAACCTTTTTCAATGCAGTACTGCTAGAGGTTCTTTTTCAAGTAACAGCTGCGGTCGCACCAACAGTTCTACAACGGTCACCTACATCCAGCAGTCGAGTAGCACGAACGAGCGAAACAGCATCAAAAAAAGTGACTACCCGCTGTCATCCCCGACGAAAGGCGTAAATTCCTCGTCTTTAGGCGTAAGTTCAGCTTCGAAAGGTGCAAACTCTCGGCCGAAAGGCGCAAACTTTTCGTGCGGAAGATCTGTTCTACTTTCTAGGGACCAATACTCATCTACAGCCTCACATTTTTCTTCAAAAAATCCTAATATATCAACCAAAGCTTCTCTTTTTAAAGGAACAAATCTACTCTCAAAAGGCTCAAATTTCTCCTCACATTCCAAAAAGTGCCTCAAGATCCTCGATAGAGCCGTAAGACGTCTGCATGGCGAGCCTTTAGTAGCAGAAAATAGAATTCCAGCGCCAGAAACCAGTGATTCAGTGGCTTTTGAGCCGCCAAGTGACAATTCCGAAAATCCACCAGCATGCGAAAGGGTAAATGTGACATCTGCACCTACAGGTGCTAGTGAAAATAGTTCAATCTCACGTACAAATGATAGGACACCTGGTGCCTCTGGATTAAATAGTGGAAATCCTGTTAATAGTCGGACCGTTGACACTCAGGTAGCATGTGATCTGTGCGAGAGTGGTTACGATACAGAACGAACAATCACGGTGTGCAAATGTGGATTTGCTTGGAAGAAGAGAATACGTAAGTTGTTTTTAAATGCATGACTACAGTTACAGTTTTATTAGTTTAATACCAGGTGGATAAATTTGCAGCAGAATTTAGCCCAATAGTATTTATATAATTGAGGTAACTTGGATAGTCGATCATGTCCCTGAAATTGACAAATTAAAGCAATTAATTTTAATTGAAATCTGCGTAAATTTCAAAACTTCTACTAATTAACAGGCATCAATTCAGTCATTCAAAAAATATTTGATACTGCGTCATTTGTTTTTTTTTTCACCCTAAATTGATGGTAGCTCCGAGCTGAAAACTATTAGTTTTCAACTCGTTTATTATAACTATTAATAAATATATTTAGCGCTCATCACTATGTGACCTTAGAAGATAAAGTGAATAATAAATTAATTAAAACATGAGCAGTAGAACACGCAACATGGTTCGAATTTTCAGCTACAATGCTATCGACAACACTCGCTCGACTTCGGCTTGATTCAGAAACTTCCCTTTAAAAAACCTCTACTGTAATCTGTGGAAAAGCTTTCCTTGAAGACTGTGTGCATAATATAAGATAATTCACTCTATTTATGAAAATCTTGCCATTGAGCAGACTATAGATGCTTTTGTTCAAATTAATTCTTCGATTGTTGGTAAAAAAAATTGGTTTGTCCCGCGCGAGAATGGAGATCTCAACGCTGCGTAGGTACCGATCCCAGCGACTGTGGTGTTCACGGCCGAATTTTGTGCGGCCATCTACTGTCGATTATTATATTATATCATATAATATATTATATAAAAGTATATCATATTATTCGATTAGAGTTTTAAATTATTATTATGTAAAAAAATATCGTGTATACCTATCCTATATGTATAGGATATATGTGTTTAAGTATTCAAGTCGAGCGGAAAGTCACAATACTTTTGCAAGGGCATACGTACTGTATTTAAAAATAAAACTGTATTTTTGCTTCTGGTTTCAAAGCGTGGGTTAAACGGATATTTATTTCATTAAAGTTTATTCATGCACTCCGTAAATTATCGAATTGATTATGGAGACAAATCGTAGATATTACATGTCCCTGATTATTATTATTTTATTATACCTGCTGGTTATTTGTAGTGCAACTAATCTTGTTTGTCGCTAATATTAAGATTGTCTTCTTGCATCCAAATTTAGTTGAAAAAACAATAATTTTTGAAAGTCGTATTGATTTTTTAATATATTTATAATAAGATGAAAAATGCCTGCGGCCTATGGCGCAGGTGACCGATTTTTCAACTGTAAAACATTCAAGATTTCATGCAAAGTTGTTACTATAAGTTTATGAATTCGTAAGTAGTTTCACTTATTAAAGAATATGTTATTGTGGACCATTTAAGTGTATATGTTAAATCTATTTATATTAATTATGATATAATCGTAAATCATGAACTAATTTGGTTGGCCGAGTAATTTTTTTCTATGAGACCAGAGGTTTTTAATTATTGAGGGCAAATGTTTTTTTAATGTTCTCAATGAAAGCGCGTAAATGGTCAATGAAAATGGAATTAAAGTTATGAATGAAGAATATTTTACTAATTAAGAATAAAAAAGTCTGTCAACGAGAGGGGGTTCGAGTGAAGGGGGGATAGCAACGCAACGAAGGGGGATAGAGTGAAGAGGGATAGCAACGAAGGATGTAAATTTATCAACGAAGGTGGACAGAATTTCTCAATGAAGATGGAGGAGTGGGGGAGGGGGGGATCAGGGTGGGGTGTACCCATCGAATGGNTATTATTGCACGTGCCACCGTTTTATTATTGCACGTGCCACCGTTTTATTATTGCACGTGCCACCGTTTTATTATTGCACGTGCCACCGTTTTATTATTGCACGTGCCACCGTTTTATTATTGCACGTGCCACCGTTTTATTATTGCACGTGCCACCGTTTTATTATTGCACGTGCCACCGTTTTATTATTGCACGTGCCACCGTTTTATTATTGCACGTGCCACCGTTTTATTATTGCACGTGCCACCGTTTTATTATTGCACGTGCCACCGTTTTATTATTGCACGTGCCACCGTTTTATTATTGCACGTGCCACCGTTTTATTATTGCACGTGCCACCGTTTTATTATTGCACGTGCCACCGTTTCATTATTGCACGTGCCACCGTTTCATTATTGCGCGTGCCACCGTTTTATTATTGCACGTGCCACTGTTTTATTATTGCACGTGCCATCGTTTTATTATTGCACGTGCCATCGTTTTATTATTGCACGTGTTTTGACATCGCGTGTTGTTTGTACGTCGACCTCTCGTGTGCGTGTTGTTGCTCTGCCCCCTGGCGTCGGTAGTTAGTTTAGAAGAGTTAGGCGAGTAGTTTGGTGAATAGTTCTGTTATTAGTTGGGTGAGTAGTTTGGTGAATAGTTCTGTTATTAGTTGGGTGAGTAGTTTGGTGAATATTTCGGTTATTAGTTGGGTGAGTAGTTCGGCTATTAGTTTGGTGAATAGTTCGGTTATTAGTTGGGCGAGTAATTTTGTGAATAGTTCGGTTATTAGTTGGGTGAGTAGTTTGGTGAATAGTTCGGTTATTAGTTGGGTGAGTAGTTTGGTGAACAGGTTTGGTTTAGTGCAAAGGTTATTACAAGTTAATTCCCCTGAAGAAAAAATATGTTATGTGGACAATAATTATTTAAAATCAGTGGACAAAAGAAGTGGACAATCATTCGATAAACGAATAATTGTTTACTGGTAAATTAGGTTGGTAGTAGTCTACTGGCTTTAATTTACGTTAAGTGGTATTGTATATGCATGAAAATTTTGCGGGCAAACTGTTGAAAATTATTCTGGTAGACGGTTAAAAATTATGCGGGTAGATGAAAGAAAAATTTTTTTTTCTGTTTCACGCAAAGTTTCATGTGAATTGCGCTGCATCGTCTTGAAATTTTTTGATGAATTGTACCTCAATATAAATCCATTCATACCGTTCATTTTTAATCGCCTTTGGAGAATCTAATTTCAATATTAACAAAAACCTCTAATGAATTACAAAATGAATATCAACGTAAACCTCCGTCGAATCTAAAAATCTCAAATAAATTATTAACTTACAACTGAAACCGGTTGCAAAACTGTGCAACAATGTGTTGTACTAAAATATATATTCTCATATGCTTTTTTGATCTGAGTATCGAACGAAATAATCGAGAACTACTTTTTATACCATAATAAGGCTTTTCTTATAATAAATAAAAGCCATAATAATAATATAATAATTATTTTATTAATTATATTATTATATAATTAATATTTTTATTCTTTATTAATAATAATAAATAGCCATAATAAGTCTTTTCTTATTTTCTATGCCATAATACGTTCTGAATAATTATTTTTATACAATAAATACAAGAATTTGTGCAAGAGTTAAAGGGTCTGCTTAAGTTCTGAATCATTTTTTTATATAATGAATACAAGGATGTGTCCAAGAGATGGGCCATAATAAGTTCTGAATCATTATTTTTATACAATAAATACAAGGATGTGTCCAAGAGATGTGCCATAAGTTCTGAATCCTTATTTTTATACAATAAATACAAGGATGTGTGCAAGGGTTAAAGGGCCTGCTTAAGTTCTGAATCATTATTTTTATACAATAAATACAAAGATGCGTCCAAGAGTTAAAGGGTTTGCTTAAGTTCTGAAATATTATTTGTATACAATAAAAACAAGGATGTGTCCAAGAGATGTGCCATAAGTTCTAAATAATTATTTTTATACAATAAATACAAGGATGTGTACAAGGGTTAAAGGGTTTGTTGCCGCCAGCGCAGTTTGAACAAGTTGCTGTTTTTCCTGGCAGCAATTGTGGCTTGTGAGCCGCGATGGCTCGCAGCCATGTGGCCTTTGATGGATTCTGTGTGAGCTATCAACTGACGTCTTAACTGCCGCTCATACAAGCTCTGTGTGGCTGTATGCTCTGTGTGGCTGTATGCTCCATCTGGTTGCTGGATACTGTGTTTTATATGCCGCATTGTTGTACATTCAATGTATTTTTTTATATTCTGCTTTCATGTATTTCTGTGTTCCTGTATATTTAGCTATAATGGCGTCATATACACACGTCACTAACGTATCATAAACATGCCCATAACACGTCACTAACATGTCATGCGAGGGCGGCGTGTCCCCCCTCAGGAATTACCCCCCCATCTGTGGGGGTAGCCATGAGGGGTCCAGGATGACTCCCTGTACGTCCCCCGCAATATACGTGAGTATTTTCTTCAATTTAAATACTTACATCGAATTAGTTAAGTTACTAACTAATTTACATATTTTCTATAATTTTATTAATTTTCAGAATATGTTATTCACGATATAATTAAAATTATTATAATTAATTAAGGGGTTTCGTTTGAGTGATGTATTAAGTTTGTGTAATAAATTGATATTTATTTAATTAATACATTAAATTATATAATAATATTAAATAATTTTTTTCTTTGTACATACATCAACCAATGAAAAGTTTTTTGAGGAAGCGAGCGAAAAAAATTTAGTGATGATGCCGTATTGTAAACCAAAATGTTGCAATATGAGAATCTTAATCATGTGGCATAAGAATGTTAACCGTTGTTATTAATTATCGTTTTGCTTTCGATCGAATTGTCAAAAAAAATGTAATGCATTTGTTTGCGTTCTTGTATCGCGCAAGTTAGACGTATAGGATACCACTATACAAGTATATGGTGGGTACTATACCAATATACTAGTATAGGACTATACCAATATGCAAGTATAGGATTCCAATATAAAAGTATGGTACTATACCAATATACTAGTATAGGACTATTCCAATATACAAGTATAGGATTCCAATATACAAGTATAGGATACCAATATACAAGTATAGTATACGTACTGTAGATCCTATTCATATATTATACGTAATCACCAATTTTATATATGGAACTATTGGGATCAAACATATTTTTGTTTCAGGCCAAGAATGCCCTGGGCAGGGTTAGTCCAGGACACGACCTAGGATACCACACCCTAATACCTCGTCAGGATACCCTGATACCGCGTCAGGATACCCTGATACCCCGTCAGGATACCTTGATACCCCGCCAGGATACCCTGATACCCCGTCAGGATACCCTGATTTCCTGTCAGAGTCCTTCGCTTTGGCCCGAGATCAGAGCGGATCCTAGGTAGGATTGTGTAGGATCATTCAGTGATTGTTGTCAGAATCATTAGGATAATGGATAATTGGAACCTTTAATATCAGGGAAGATCGATTGCATTAAGACTGCTTCATATTTTGAATAATTACGAAAGAATAATAATAATTAGCGAGAATAATGAGAGAATAATAATAATTAGCGAGAATAACGAGAGAATAATAATTATTAACGAGAATAACAAGAGAATAATAATAATTAACGAGAATAACGATAGAATAATGATAATTAACGAGAATAACGATAGAATAATAATAATTAACGAGAATAACGATAGAATAATAATAATTAACGAGAATAACGAAAGAATAACAATAATTAATGAGAATAACGAGAGAATAATGATAATTACCGAGAATAACGATAGAATAATGATAATTACCGAAAATAACGAGAGAATGGAAATAATTAAATAATTAACGAGAGAAATTGTGTAAATAATGAATTTAATTACGACAATTAGATGAAATAATTACTACACATCGCAAGTACACTTGGAAAAATGAGTGTGTCATAACTAAATAGTGATTTCTAACTCTAGTCTGCTAAACTTAGAAATCACTAGTACTAAGTCTGTACTAAGTCTGTACTAAGTCTGCACTGTGCTCGTGCTGCTGGTAAGAAAGTGTGTCATAATTTGGATATTACGACCCATCAATTTTTTTGAGTGTAGGAACAACATTAAGATCATCAAATAATTAAACTTAATAATTTTGAGCCGATAATTTAAATAATTATTGCAGTTTACCGTAAGTCGCGTGTACCCTGTGACCCCACGGCCCCCTTCTACCCCTCACCTTACCCCCACTTCCCCCCTCACCCCCGCAGGCTGGAGCTGAAGGGTGGCGCCCCCTACCCCCCCTCCCTCAACTTCTCCGCCCTCAGCTCGTGCCCCCGCTCCTCTCCCCGCCCCCAGCTCCCCAGCGTCCCCCCCTCCAGCGTGAGTATTGTCTTATCATTATTACTATTATTATTATTGTTGTTATTATCATTATTATTATTATAAATATTGTCTTATCATTATTATTATCATCAATATTGATATATTAACAAAGTAACTACCGTCTTATCATTATTATTATAATTACCTATTATAAATATCAACAATATAACTATTGTCTCATCATTATTATTATCATCATTGTTGATATGAATCAACAATATAACTTTTGTCTTATCATTATTATTACAACTATTATAACTATTGACAATATAACTATTGTCTTATCATTAATATTATCATCATTATTGATATAAATCAACAATATAACTATTGACAATATAACTATTGTCTTATCATTATTATCATCATAATTGATATAAATGAACACTATAACTATTGAATTTCTGTTAAGATTACCGGTATCTTAGATGAATTTTACTTATCATTATCACCAAGAATATATCATCTAATTTGTGTAAGTTCAAGATATCATAATAAATAATGTATTTTTCATAGTTGCTTCAATGATATGCCTATCATTATCATATTAATTTATGATTTTCAATGCAGTTTGTTTTATTTCTCTCCTGTGTTTGCAATGTTTGTATTTCCATACAATTTCTCTGTATTTTTCCTGTATTATAGCATATGTCCTGTTATAATATATCGAAGAATCGCTTGTATTAACATGTGCTTTATTTGTATGACGTTCATGTGTGTCTTGTATACCACACAGGCGCTGGAGAACACACAAGAGCTGCTGAGTCCCTCATACAAGGGGAAGAAGCTTCCCCGCGCTTCCCCCTTCGACAGACTGAGCGACGACCTCGTCGTTAGGATCCTGTCCTTCCTCCCCACCCCCGCCCTGTGTAGTGTGAGTGTGTGGGCTGTGTGGCTATGTGCTCTGTGTGGCTGTGTGCTTGGTAATCTTGGTACTTGTTTGGGACATAGCAGTCCCAGGCCACGATGGATCGCTGCCTCTGATTATCGTTCATCCGCCCTCATTTGGGCCACCTGATGCACGATGCTGTTGCTTGCTTCTCGCCGCTGCATGGTAGTGTTGCAGGGGAGGTCGATCTGGGATTGTGCCCAGGAACACGTCTAGTTGTCTCTTGAAGGTCTCCAGGGTGAACTCCCCCTCTCTTAGATCCCTTGGTAGGGCGTTGAACAGCCTTGGCTCTGCCACGGAAAGCGATCCTTCTCGCAGGGATTGAAATCTGACTGCGGATCTGTTACGTAGTGGGGGGATCCTGCACAGTCTCCCTCTTCTTTCGTTATGGTTTGTCTTAATCTTGAAGGTTTCGTTTTCGAAGTTTGGGGCCATTGCGGTTATCATTTTCCATGTGTACAGAATGACATACTTCTCCCGTCTCCTCTGCAGTGAGTACAGACCCAGGGGCCTTAACCTCCTTCAGTAGTTCAACTCTTCTATCCCTCTGATCCTGGAAGTGAAGGTTCGTTTGACCCCTTCCAGTTGCCGCACTACGCCGAGTGTGGTCGGGGTCCAGAGCTGGCAGCAGTATTCAAGGAGAGGTATCACAAGAGCTATGAGGAGTGTGATCATCGGTTCCGCTTCTCTCGTTCTGAACGTCCGCCAGATCCACCCCATCTGTCGCCTACCTCTTGCGGTTATTGCCGTTATATGATCACCAAAATTGACCTGATTGTTCATCAACACTCCTAGATCGCGAACGAGTCGCTTCTCTTCGATTTCCGAGTTGTCAGGTGCTAGGTAGCGGTTATCCATTCCAGCTCTTCCGGTTCCTCTGTACCTCAGGACCTCAAACTTGGTCCCGTTGAACTGCATGTTGTTCACTAGTGCCCAGTCATATATTGCAGAGAGGTCTTCTTGCAACCTCTCACTGTCCGTCCTGTCCGTTATGGTCATTAGTATCCTGGTGTCGTCCGCGAATGACGATGCAGTGGCGTGGTTCACTGCCACATCTATGTCAGCGATGTGGATGAGGAAGAGGATTGGGCCGAGTACCGCTCCCTGTGGTACTCCACTCTTCACCTTAGCCACGCTCGATCTCGAGCCTCCTACAACTACAGCTTGTAGTCTTTCTGTAGCTGTGGACCCATGCCAGCAATTCACCTCCGACCCCTAGCAGTCTTAATTTTCTGAAGAGCACCCCATGGTCAACTTTGTCAAACGCTTTCGCGAAGTCCAAGTACACCACGTCCACCCCGGCCCCCTCGTCCAGCATGGCCAGGATTTGGTGGTGATGCTCCAGTAACTGAGACAAGCAGAAAAGATTTCGTCTAAAACCGTGTTGCCTTCTGTTGAAAAGGCCAGCGTCTTCCATGTACTGCCCCAACCTTCTGGCAATAACCTTCTCAAATGCTTTGATTACGTGTGATAACCGGCCTGTAATTTTGGGGTTTGTCTCTCGCACCTCCTTAGTAGATAGGGGTAATTAGCCCTAATTTAAGGTCACTTGGAACATTTCCTTATCTCAATGATGTTTTCCAGAGCAAAGTCAGAGACCTTTAGTGCACCGACACATTTTTTCAGTAATACTGCAGGGACCCCATCTGGCCCGGGAGCCGAATACGTAGATAATTCTTGGATACTCCTCTCTAGATCCGGTGTTTCCAACTCAATGTTCATCAGCTCCCGCTCCCCTGGAAGTTATTGAATGACTCCAATTTCGTTCTGCTGCCTTGAGTATCGGGGTTCGCTTAATATTTTTTCAAACTTCGATCCCAAAGTGTATGCACATATACTGTGTTGGTATACACCACAAAACCCTGTAACACCACAAACTGCGCCCTGTGTAGTGTGAGTGTGTGGACTGTGTAGTTCTCTTTCTACCCACTCACACCACACACCTCTATGTGGTGTGAGTGTAGTGTGGTCTGTATTGGATGTGTAGTGTGCGTCTGTATAGGGCAGTTTCCCAAACTTTTTCAGGCTGGCGCCCCCTTTGGCTCCCTAGTGAATTTCTAGCGCCCCCCACAGACACATAAAAAAATCATGCGCCTCTTACTATAAAATTTAGTATGCTGCAATGTTAAAAGATAAAGGTTAAACACAAATGTGTATTTCACAAATAGAACCCCTTTTAGTGAACCAATGTGTTTTTCAGCTGTTTTAACTAATACCAATGATTGGTGCGCAGGTATCGCGCGTGTGCCGCCGCTGGTACACGCTGGCCTGGGAACCGTCTCTGTGGACCAGCATCTCTCTGTCAGGTGACGGTACCCCGGCTGACAGAGCCCTCAAGCAGATCACCCGTCTACTGTCCCGCGACAACGCCGTCAACTGCGTCCAGATAGAAAAAGTGCGTAGTTTTTTGAGTGTGATTGAGAAATATGGTATTATTTAATGCATACCTGTGGGGTGCATACCTGAGGGGTGCATACCTGAGGGGTGCATACCTGAGGGGTGCATTCCTGAGGAGTGCATACCTGAGGGGTGCATTGTGCATACCTGAGGAGTGCATACCTGAGGAGTGCATACCTGAGGAGTGCATACTTGTGGGGGGATCATACCTGAGGGGTGCATACCCTGGTCCCCACCCCCCCAGACCGTGACCCAGACCCCCAAATCACTCAGTCCCTCCGGCAGGTCTCGCTGAACGGCTGCGCGCGTCTATCAGACCGCGGTCTCGGTCTACTGGGCCGCCGGTGTCCGGAGCTGCGACACCTCGAGCTCAGAGGCTGCGTTAACGTCACCAACGTCGGCGTCTTCGAGCTCGTCACGCAGTGCGTCAACCTGACCCACCTCGACGTCACTGGTGCGTATGGTTGGTGTGTCAACCTGACCCACCTCGACGTCACTGGTGCGTATTTAGTATGGTTGTATAATTCAGTTACATTTGTATTCAATTAGGATATTTTTACACAACACCTCCACAAGACCTCCAGTGCAGGTTGCCACCAGACCTCTCTGCTGGTCTCTGCTGAACCAGACCTCTCACTTCCCTCGTGTAAAGTGTTAATGCTTCCTTGTCTGTAAAGTGTTATTGCTTCCCTCGTGCAGGCTGCCACCAGACCTCTCACTTCCCTCACTCCCCTCGTGCAGGCTGCCACCAGACCTCTCACTTCCCTCACTCCCCTCGTGCAGGTTGCCACCAGATCACGTGCATCCACCTGTCGCAGCAAGGCTGCAGTGAGGCCGTGGATGCACTGCTGCACTCCCGCCAGCTCTACCTGCAACATCTCGACATGACGGACTGCTTCGGTCTACGCGACGCCGGACTCAGCGTTATTGTACGCAACTGCCCCCAGCTACTGCGTCTCTACCTACGCCGCTGCATCAACATTACGGGTGAGGGTGGTGCATCAGCACTGCAAGGGTGGTGCATCAGCACTGCATGGGTGGTGCATCAGCATAGCAAGGGTGGTGCATCAGCACTGCTAGAGTGGTGCATCTGCATCAAGGGTTAGGTGGTCAGGACACCCAATACATCAGGATTTGATGTATTGGGTGTCATCCTGATATTTCATGCGGTATTCTTGGGAATCAGCATGTTGATGCAAGATTACATGTTGATGCAAAATTAACATGTTGATGCAAGATTATATGTTAATGCAAAATAAACATGTTGATGCAAGATTATATGTTGATGCAAGATTACATGTTGATGCAAGATTACATGTTAATGCAAAATTAACATGTTGATGCAAGATTACATGTTGATGTAAGATAACATGTTGATGCAAAATTTACATGTCACTGCAAGCTATAAATGTTATTGCTAGATTTACATGAGGATGCCATATTAACTTGTTCTTGTAAGAAAAACATATTGTTGCAAGACATACAAGTTGTCACAAACCAATAATTTGTTGCAGATGTTGGTATGAAGCACATCGCGAGTTACTGCCAGACGCTGCGTGAAGCGAGCGTATCGGACTGCGTACAAGTCACGGATTTCGGCATGTACGAGTTAGCCAAACTTGGTCCCAACCTGCGCTACCTGAGTGTGGCTAAGTGTGACCAGATCAGTGACGCCGGCATCAAGCAAATCGCCAGACATTGTTACAAACTGCGTTACTTAAACGTGCGTGGTTGTGAAGCTGTTAGTGATGACAGCATGGAGATGGTGGCCAGGTCATGTCCGAGGTTACGGGCGTTAGATATCGGAAAATGCGACGTTACTGATAACGGCATGAAGCTTATCTCCGAGAACTGCCCCAACTTGAAGAAGTTGTCTGTAAAGTCCTGCGATATGGTGACTGATAGAGGCATACAGTACATAGCCTACTACTGTAGGGGATTGCAACAGCTCAATATTCAAGACTGTCAAGTAACCTTAGACGGTTACAGAACGGTTAAGAAGTTCTGCAGAAGGTGCATTATCGAGCACACTAACCCTGGGTTCTTCTAGCCGCTTGTACAGTTATTATAGAACTACGTTACGAGGTTCTTATATCGTGCGTGGCAGTTTAGTTTCATATCAGAACAGAACTATTCTACTAAGGCTTGTGACAATATTGCTCCGGTTACTATATTATATTATTAATAATAATATACTACTAAGGCTTGTGACAATATTGCTCCGGTTACTCGTGTCAGGCGGTAGAGGGTTAAGAGGTAAATACAAGCTTGTCGGGGGACAACGGATCTTATCGAATGAAAAAAAATGTTTCGAAAATTTATAGCACAACTTCGGGTGCCAAAACTTTCCGTGCCACAACTTATGGCGGCACAACTTTCCGTGCCACAACTTTTGGTAACACAATTTCAATTTTCAATGTCACAATGTGACTGTGGGGTTAATTTAGTGATGCATACGTCAGAGATACGTCAGTGAAGTTTAGAGCAATGTATTGAGTGAGAGTAATACGTCTTTTGTATATTGACGTGTAACAGCCAGTGAATTATTCGTCATCAGCGCACGGCATTGTGAACGTCACTGACGTGTCGAAGTGACGTGTTCACTAGTGACGTGTACACTAGTGACGTGTTATATTAGTGACGATTATGCGTCACTTATTTGTTGACAGTTGGTAACTTGGGTGTAATTGAAGTGTATATAGTGAAGATCACCGACGTACCGTACGTCACTGGCGTGTCGTATGTCACTGACGTGTCGTACGTCACTGACGTGTCGTACGTCACTGACGTGTCGTACGTCGCTGACGTGTCGTACGTCGCTGACGTGTCGTACGTCACTGACGTGCCGTACGTCACTGACGCGTCGTACGTCACTGCCGTGTTGAAAATAGCGACGTAATCCACAACGTAACGTCGCGGATTTCAGTTCAAACGAAGCTGCTTTCTAGTGCCAAAGTGGTTATATATATATGTTTTATTATGTACAAAATAAAGTTGTTACTCTAGGATGTATTATAGGATGTAATATGTCGTTAAGTGTCGCAATATCCATGGAATATTTGTTGAATATTAAGAGTAAGTCTTACTCATCAGTGTAATAGATTGATTATTTAATTGTTAATTGACGCTGTCATCAGATCCTGATTACTAATGATGGATCCTAATGTTGGATCCTACTAATGATGATGGATTCTTATGTGGTGGCTATAGCAGATCCCTCGCTTGTATTTTAGTCGCTGGATTTTTTTCCGAATTTTTGGGCATTGCATCTAAATTGGAAAAAATTTCAATAGATTTTGTTACAAGATTGATTTTTATCCATGGATTAGTTTTTAAAAATTGTTTTCTTGAAATGAACGAGGGAAAAAGTATGTTTTGTGAGCAGTCGGCGCGGTGATTTTAGTGTAGGTCCTGAATTTGGTTCTTAAAATTTACTGATATATTCAAATATCCTGTAAAAATCATGGAAATCTATAAACAAATTTGTTGTGACGTGGCTTGGAACTGACACTTGGGGTCGAGATTTGCTTTATGGAATGGGAATGTTTTGGCCATATTTTTTGTGATGTGGGCGGTGTACATGTTACTTATGGTATACATGTTACTTATGGTGTACATGTTACATATGGTGTACATGTTCCATATGGCGCGCATGTTACTTATGGTCACATGTTACATATGGTGCACATGGTGTACTTTTTGATATATATATATCGTATATCATACCGTTTACATGACTGTGCACTGTATGCACCATATATCATGCCTATTGTGCACTGTGCACTGTACATGTGCTTATGATGCATAGAAGGAATATGATGCCATGAACCTGAAAAAGTTTTATATATGTTTTAAAAATGATCATCAATTATCGGTCACTTTAGCCCCAATAAAAAGCCGCGTTCACGAGCGTTTTATTTTTCATTTATTGCTTCATCAGCCTTCGTCAACAATTTTTGTAGTATGTACTTCACGATGAATGTTTTGAGTAACAATCAATGATTATGAACGTTTATAAATATATTTTCAATTTATTAATATATTTTCAATTCAAGCAAACTTTCGGCAGGGATTCTAGAATTCATACGAAACCAAAAATCTAAGTAATTTATAAAAGAAAAGAGTTTATGGTGAACAAATGACAAACTAGGTCATTTCAACCAAATTTGTTTATTAGGTGGAATAATATGATTTTTATCGATCAAAAGTTATTTCTATTTGTATGCAATTATAGAAAAGTTTTTCTGCGCACCTACGATATAAGCAAATAATGGTGGTGGGAAACCCAGCGAACTGAATGGGTTATTAGTGACACTTTCTACACGTAGCACTAAAGAACACTTTTGCCACACCGAACTGGGTCCGGTGCTATATAGGGAGATTTTGAGCCGTGCAGGCAGCTTGAGGTAGGCAGGGTTTTCGATGAGTTGGTAGAGAGCAATTAAGTAAAGTGATTGAAGTGATTAATTAAAGTAACTAAAGTGATTAAATAAAGTAATTTTAGTGATTAATTGAAGTGATTAACAACTATAACTCAAAACTCGGTCGTGGGGCCGCATTGGACTAGTCTTCAGAGGCTCCCGCAAATTTGAAAATAAAAAAAAAAGAACTGGGTCCGGATGACCTATATGAGCATGAAATGCATCGCAATTTCGACAAAGTCATACAGATTACTCTGTGTGTAGGCGCGACGCAAGGGAAACAAACATCAATTTGCGGCTCAAGCAATTGAATAAATTAGGTGTGCTAATTCCTCACAAAAAAGGTCCTAATTAAAAAAATTACATATATTTTTTCATGATTATATATTACTACAATCGAGCTACAACCTACAAGCGTCAGTGCCGCGGCAGGCGTTCATAATAGAGGTTGGGTGTGCGTCTGCTCCGCCAGGCCAGTCTCCTGTACAGGGATCGTGTTTATCTTAACCTTGACTCGCGATGTCGTGCATATATAGAAAATACGCAATCATTGTCATCGCATTATTTTTAGGTGAGTTCTTATTAACTATTATTCACGGATAAATAGCATCGAAAATTAATTAAAATGTTAATTTGAATGCCGTTGCTCGACAGGAACATCGAGCGCCCGAAGGCGAATACTAATTAGAAAACCGAAGTCTGGCTGGAAAATTCGAATGTGTACGAATGTTTGTCGAGGTTTTACAGATATTTGGTAATTTTTAAGCAACATCCATTCAATGAATGCATGTTCATACTACTTTAGAAAGTTTTTCAATAACCATTTGTTTATTGGTCGGCTAAAGATGTTGAACGGATGCTCGAAAATGTTCATCAACAGCTCGTATTTGAACGATGCATGCTCAAGAATTGCATTCAATGAAGATTTTTATTCCATGAAAGACCAGTCTAGTAATAGTTTACTATTGAATGAAGTGTACACGTTTTAGGTGCCACAGACAAAAATTTAGTTGCTTCTAACAAAAACAAAGGAATGGAAACAAAATATATGGTGACTATGTCACAAGTTCAATATATTTATTGAAATAGGTAACTGGCACAAAGCAGGCGAAACCTATATATATAGGCTAGCTCAGGCTCCGGTTGGTAGGAACTTCTCACAACGTACGCTCCCAGCCACTGACGATCGTGAAGCTGTTGGTGCACAAGAGGAATTCAATTTCAGTTATAAGTTAGATACAGTTATCGTTATAGTTATCAGTTATCGTTATAGTTATCGTTATAGTTATCAGTTATAGTTATCAGTTATAGTTATCAGTTACAGTTATCAGTTATAGGTTTTAGCGGATGTAAGGTTCTTTTAGGATTACTCAGAACAGCAGCACGTACGCTCCGATCATGAGCCCAGAACTGCGACAACTCATATGGCTCACCTTCACTATCAAGGGCGCACGCCAGTCCCAGGGCAGGTCCCACGCTACTAGCCGACTCCAGATGTCGGACGGCACACGTCTGATGGTCGGACGGCACACGTCGGAGGACACAACGTCGGATGACAGACGTCGGACAAAGTGCTGCCAAGTGCAATGCTCGAAGGCGTATGGTTAAACTTCAACAGGGCTATTCATGAATTATCTAACATACGTGAACAGGTTGCTATCTGTTTGGCTGTAAATGAATGGAGACCACATGAACTGTCACGACCAGACCCATGAGCAAATCGTAACGAGCTGCTCCTATCAAAGAACTATTTGAAATCAAATTAACTCCAGTTTTACTAATATTTCACTTAAATTTCACACTGAATTCCACACTAAATTTAAAATATATTCACTTAAACTAAGGCCTCTAAATCTAAGGAAGCGACCGGAACCGGGACCGGCTAGGTCGACTTCAACAACACAAGTGAAGACTAAGTCACTAAGCCTCACTAAGGCGCGACCGGCAGAAGTCGGCTACGCCGCTGCTTATGGTCACGTCACATGCACATGGGTTGCATCGTTTTAGACAGCTTCAGGGCAGTTTGCGCGACAATGGTATCTAATTTTCTGAAAAACTCCAACGTCTTTGATTAAACCAAACGAAGTTTGACCAATTAATCCAAATGAAGTTTGACCAACTAATCTCACCAGTAACGAAATTTTGTGCCAACTTCTACCTAGGCGAGTTAGCTTCCTAGAAGAGCATGGGGCTTCCAAACGCGGAAAAGTTAGGCTAATATTGCCTACCTAATCCAACCTCGCGCTGGGTCATTGTCTCTAAAATACATGTTCTTTATATTACAAACTATATTAATGAAGTTTTTAAGTAGAACAAAGTTTCGTACGGGGAACTATCAAATTTGCCTGTCCATGATAGAATTTCAAAAATTCCATCATGGACAGGCAAATTTGATAGTTCATTTTCTTTTGGACTCGTGTAAAAAAATGTGCTGCCTAGTAATTCTGACATCACCTGTATTTTCAACCAATCATAGACCTGACTTGCGCTGTCAAACCCAGCCAAGATTGTCACGCGCTCTGTGATTGGCTATACGGTGATGGTAGCACGTTAATTACTTGTCGATCGTATTTGATCTAATATTTGGTTAAAATTTAACCTTTGTTTCTCAAACCCAACTCTTGCTACGAGGACTTTGGGTAAGTTTAAAGCATCCGTAGGACGAACCGTTTCATAGACATCAATTGACTTTATTTATTGACTTGATTGACTGACTTTTACTTTATTAATTGACTTTATTTATTCGCTAAGCCCCAAATTTGAGGATGTTGATCCAAAGTAAACCAGCAAATGGTGGCCAGCAAAGTGGGTAATCAAACTAACCACCAGCATCACCACTCATGAAAATAAATTGTCTACACAATTTCTATATATATTTTCATTATTCATCCCCATCCTTCTCTCTTCCCCAGCCCAGGGGCCGGCCTTGGGGCAGCAGTTCGACGGACGGAGCTCCGTGGGGCAGCCGTGCTTGAGAGGTGACGGCTTCGGGGGAGTCTGCACCCCCCTCCCCCTCTGCCTTAAAGTGAGGAATTATCTATCATCTCCACACTTCTGCGTCACTGTAAGTTTAAGAAGTCTTCGTTCAAGGTCATGTTGATGCACCGCCTTCATCGTCCTCCGTCACTAATGACTATTACGGACAGGACAGACTGAGAAAGGTTGCAAGAAGACCTCTCTGCACTATATGACTGTGCAATATATATGACATGCAACAAGTAACCAACATGCAGTTCAACGGGACCAAGTTTGAGGTTCTGAGATACAGAGGTAGCGGAATAGCTGGTATGGAGTACCGCTACCTGGCATCTGACGGCTCGGAAATCGGAGAGAAGCGAATCGTTCGCGATCTAGGAGTGTTGATGAATACTCAGGTCAAGGTTGGTGATCACATAGGTTGGTGATCACGACAGAGGGGGTGGATCTGGCGGTCGTACAGAACAAGAGAAGCGGAACCGATTATAACACTCCTCATAGCTCTTGTGATACCTCTCCTTGAATACTGCTGCCGCTCCGGACCGCGATCACACTCGGCGCAGTGCGGCAACTGGAAGGGGTCCAGCGAACTTTTACTTTCAGGATTAGAGGGATGGAAGAGTTGAATTACTGGGGGAGGTTGGGGCGCCTGGGCCTGCACTCAATGCAGAGGAGACGGGAGAGGTATGTCATTCTGTACACATGGAAGATATTAACCGGAATGGCACCATACCTTGAAACAGAGAACTTCAGGATTGAAACATGCCATAACCCATAACCAGAGAAGGTAGAGACTGTGCAATATTCTCACCACCACGCAGCAAATCTGCGATCAAATTTCAATCCCTGCGGGAAGGATCTCTATATCCGTACCAGGGCCGAGGCTGTATAAAGCCTAAGGATCTAAGAAAGGCCTAGGACTGCTACTTCCGTAACAAAAATTAAGGATACTTCATCCTCAAGCGGTCGCCTGGCAGGTCGCCCGCCACATGACTACCGTGCATCTGTTTTTATTTAAGCCAGCTGATGCAAGATGCGGTTACTTGATGCTTGCCGGAGGTAATGGGAAATAGACGGTCGATCTGGGATTGTGCTCAATAACTCATCTAGTTGTCTCTTGAAATTCTCAAGGGAGAACTCTATCCCCTTCTCAATTCTGTCGGCAAGGCGTTGAACAGTCTCGGAACTATCACAGAAAGGGAGCCCTCTTGAAGAGTCTGAACTCTGGCCGCAGCATGGTTGTTCAACGAGGATATTATAATAATAATAGCGGTTTCAGCGTTTATTAGACCATAGGCCTGTCGCCGATTCTTAACATCGCAGAACATCCACAGCTTGTTGCGGTCTCGAACTTCGCAACTCACTGCTTCAATTTTTGCTGCGCTTAACCGCCCGGCCTCCTTGCCGCTTCTGACCACAAACTGGCGCACAGAGCTGGGATCGAACCCGCACCTCTCTGCTCCAATCCTGGTACTCTGAACTTTAACCACTGGGCCACCCTGCCACGTGCAAGTCTTACACAGTCTTACCTCTGTTTCTTTGTAATATTTCACTATTTTGCCAGTAAAGCTAATCCGGGTATCATTTTTCAAGTGTACAGTATGATATACATTTCTTTTCTCCTCTCCTCTCCAGTGAGTACAGTCCCCGATGCTCCAACTTGTCTCAGTAGTCCAGTTCCCTCATGCCGCTGATCTTAGCTGTGAAGGTCCGTTGTACAGCCTCGCGAATTGCCGCACCGTGCCTGTCTTGAGCGGCGCCTAAAGCTGGTAGCAGCACTCACGCTACCAGCTGTTCTTGCTACCAGCTGGTATGGTAGCAAGATTCACGAAAGCTCCAAAAAGTTGAATCCTTTAGACTGATTCTCGTGCTCGAAATGTGTGCCAGATTCACTCCATCTGTCCATCTGTTGTCTTCCCTAAGAAACTATTGCCGCGATGTGGTCGTCAAACGTAGCTTCCCACCCATACCATGATACCGACAAAAGAATTATTCGTTGTTTCCTTTGTCGAAAATATCAGATTTTACTCCTTAAATTCAATTCCTGCGTCTACCTAAAGTCCTAAACAATACCTTACCTCAAAGATAAGATAAAGTGGGCGGAATTCCCATTAAGACGAACTAGATTTCTTCGATGTAGTTGCATCAAATTGTATTTATTTTGATGGAAAATATTAAGTATAATTAACTAGCTCTATTTTGTGCCTCTCACAGAAGGGGGGCACGGTGGAGGGGGCGGGGAGCGTGCGGTTGTGCCCCTACAGCGCCGTGGGGGGCGCCGTGGTGTGCTGCAGGAGCTCCGCCCCCACCGTCGCCGCCAGGAGTGGGTACTGGGGGTGGGGTTGGCATGGGGGTTGGGGGCTTTGGTTTGTTATTTGTTATGTGGCTATGGGGAGTTGTTGGGGCATAGGGGTGGTGGGGGAAAGGGGCGTTTGGTGGGGTCATGGGTGGGTTATAAAATCATTAATGGGTGATGGGGGAAGTTTAGGCTGTTGGAGAATGCGGAGGGAGGTAATAGGGGACATGGGTGCGGTATGGGTTTCCAGAAGCCAGCATTTTTGCGCACCAAGTCAAATTTTAAACATAAGTCTTCAGCCCAGGATTATGTATTCTAGTTCAAGACAATAGTTCACCATTATATATATGAAGAGTGCACCAATGCATGTTGATGAAATTCGAGTATTTTAAACATAATTAATCAGTTAATTGATTCGAGTAATTTGTTAATCAGTTACTTAATTCGAGTAATTTATTAATCAGTTAATTTACTTCAGTAATTTATCAATCAGTTACTTAATTCGAGTAATTTATTAATCAGTTAATTGATTCGAGTAATTTATTAATCATTTAATTGATTCAAGTAATTTATTAATCAGTTAAGTAATTATTCTCTCCCATGCATATTAATCAGTTAGATGATCCACGTAATTTATTAACCAGTAATTTATTAAGTTCAAGTAATTTATTATTTTCTCCCCACGCAGAATGTCAGGAATGGGAATCTGGTGGGAGTTCCGGGATTTTAGCCTCTGATGTGACGGTCCCCCACATCGTGGGGGGAGAGGAGGCCGTGCCGGGGCAGTTTCCCCACATAGTGGGTGTGAAATACAGTCATTATTTGGTGTTTCATTTATTGATTTTTTGTTCTATAGTTTTTGCAAACATTGCATTAAAACGAAATTTTTATGGAACATTGTTATAAAACATATTAACGGTACTAAGGATACAGTTTCGACTGAGAATAGTGTTTAAAAATTATGTTCTCATTTTTTACCTTAAGTTAAACTTCATGTAAGTATAGATTTGAATATATATCATTTGCTAACTTACTTGCATTGTTTTCCCTATCAACTTTTTTTCCATCTTCCTTCCATTCATCAACCACATTTCCAGTTTCCACCAATTTATATTTACCATATTATCACGGTTTCCCCATTTACCCAACGCTCTCAAAATGCCCATTACCCAAAACATCCATGTCTCTCATTACCTTTATACTTCTAAATAACCCATTACCCTTATACTTCTAAATAACCCATTACCCTTATACTTCTAAATAACCCATTACCCTTATACTTCTAAATAACCCATTACCCTTATACTTCTACATTTATCCAATTCTCTCAAAATGCCCATTACCCCAAACATCTATACCTCCCATCACCCTCATATTTCTAAATTACCCATTATCCTTTTCTTCTAAATTACCCATTACCCTTTTACTTCTAAATTACCCACTATCCTTTTATACTTATAAATTGCCCATTACCCTCATTCTTCTAAATAACCCATTACCCTTTTATATATACTTCTAAATTACCCATTAATTCTCGCAAAATGCCCATTACACCAAACATCTATACCGCTCATTACCCTTATACTTCAAATAACCAATTACCCATTATACGTCTAAATAGCCCATTACCTTCATTTCACCAAGCACCCAAAACACCCATTACCCTCACTCCCCTCACGCGGGCCCGGGCCCTCGCAGGTGTCCCTCCTGCAGCAGCAGCGGGACGGGCGCGTGAGGCACGTGTGCGGTGGGGCCCTCGTGGACCCACTCTACGTGGTGACCGCGGCCCACTGCGTCGCGGGGTGAGTGGGGGGGGTGTGGTGACCGCGGCCCACTGCGTCGCGGGGTGAGTGGGGGGGGTGTGGTGACCG